TTACAAAAAACTGGATAGTCCTTGTAGTTTCTCCTTTCCCTGTGGGTTTTTATTATTATTATCATTATTATTATTATTGTTATTATTATTATTGTAAAGCACTGTGTCTGTGTCTCTCAGTTATTCATGTTCATATATTAATCCACACTGGAGCTAGGGCTATAGGGTCAGATTTTAGTGTAGGATTTTATTTTTTAGATTTATTCTATTTTATAATTTTGTTGTTTTGTGGAGTTTCACAATCGTTGGTCTTTTTTTTTTTTTTTTGTGGATATGAATGTTGGTCAGCTGAGGTTCACGTCGCGGTGCCAAGAAGCTGAAGAAACCTGTGTGGCTCACAGACTGAAAATCAGTCGGTGGGTATCTGTGGGAAAGTTTGAAAAAAAAAAAAGAACTTAAAGCCACATGAGAAAAAAACTGAATCATGCCACTTTTGTTCCCTAAGAGACAAAAATGTTGAAATGCAGTTTTAAAATAAAAACAGAATTGTAAGCATCTTTGTGAAGATGGGCATGATGGTCAAAATTTATGATCCTTTTATTCAAAGTGCTTTGCATATGTAGCAAAATCGGTACCAGAGGGAAAGGTCATGGACGCCTGAACCTCAGATGCTGGTCACAGGGAGACTAACCAAGTGTCGAATACCAAGGTGTCATTTAACCTGTCGGTGTTTGTCTTTGGGGACCTGCAAAATATACATTTTGTGGATAAAAAAATCAAAAAGCATACCTGATTTAAACGTGGGCACCACGTGGTCAGAGTTTAGTGCACAGCAGCATGCAAAACGTTAAAAAAGCAGGATTTTCACTCAGCACTTGGTTTGTCCTCTCAAAATGAAATTCAGGTTCATTGGTCGCACACGTCAGTGACACACAAATGCAAATCTGATAGTTGTGAGCCCTGCTTAGGCAGGCCATCTGTGGGGAGATTTAAAACAGGTATCCTTTTTGATTTTTGATGGGCATTGTGGAACTTTATGAATGCACCTTGCATATCTCCTTATTCGAACTCACAAAGCTGAAGGTGTTAAGCTCTGCTCTGGCTTCATGTAGTCGGTTTTATTCACAGGAATAAACTGCAGTGATACTTACTGCACTGCTGCACATGTAGATGTCTCACCATTTGATATGTCTAGTCTTCTGTAGTCTGAATTTGCTAGGATTTGAACTCCAGACAAAGCATTTTGTCTTGACTTAATGTACCATCTACATTTGGGGCTGTGAGTTCCCAAACTACTGCGTTAGAACAAGGTTCACTGATCAGTGAAAGCTGATAGACTGAAGGCTGGATTTCCAACCAGGCAAAGCAGGAAACTGGGAAAAAGCCATTTGTCTGTCACCACTGGTTGTAGCTAAAAAATGTTTTAAGTGCTTCCAACACTGAGCAGGTATTTAACCGAAGAGCGCCCTGCAATAATAGTTCATTTTCTGACCCTGTGTAGTGGAATAACCCTGTGGCAGATTGTACCGTTTTAGTTTAGTTTGTCCGTAGCGGAGCCTGTTCCTGAAGTTATATTTAATCAAATGTAGGTGTAAAGACTAATGTTTCAGCTCAGAGGATCTGATTACACGGTTCATATTCAAAG